TCTCGAACGTTCCCTGAGTTACGTGCTTCCTTCATGTCGATCCGCACCGATCGATTCCGTGATCGAGCCATCTTTTTATTTCCTCCGGTCGCTCTGGTTCTGCATCTGCGGCTTAAAGGGTTACGAAATACGTGCAGCAGATGGCATGCGGTTGCCTTTGAGCAGTTATTTCGACTGAACCTACCTAAACTATCACAACTGCAGAATATTCAAAGGTGAACATGCATGCTAAGGAACAGCGAACTGCACTGTCAGCAGCGACGCTGTCATGGTGGTCAAGCAACCATCAAAGCAGGGAATGGGGTACAGAACTGTGGCTGTCATTCTCCCCAATAGCACGCACTGTCTGAAGAATGGCCATGATACCCGACATAGTTGGTTAACGAAGCTGCAGAGAAAATTTCAGAATGCGAACGTTCCCTGATTCCTTACTTAAGGTTTACTCCCTCATAGCACGTACTAGTACAACCTCAGAACCGATGGCTACCAAATTTCGGACAGTTAATTCATGAATGTAGTTTTACGATGTTGCATTACTGAGCAATGCAAGGAAGAGCTGAACAAAAAAAAACTGAAATTGAAATGCACATATATGGATCGAAAGTGAGAATGTCTAATTCAAGAAACGAGCGAACGTTAACCTCAGAAGAACAATTAGTACCATTTGTGTCATTTTCCAGACAATGAACTGTCGAAAAGAAATCCATTAAAAGTAAAGAAAGGACGTTTCACCTATCGCTAACTTCTGTTATTCTTAATTGCATGTAAATTTTACAAGCTTCTTAGCTCCATCTTGAATTATAATCCTCTTTGAGGAAAGTATTATTTGAAATCAGCTACTAAACCTACCTATCAGCGACAAAACATTCGAAGTACATAGCGAAAGACTCAGGATTGTTGTGAAAGAATTCAATACAGCTGCAGATATGGAAACTTTCTGTGAATGTCGTGTTTATCAACAATCAATAGAGACACTTTCAAAGGATACTTTACATGCCCAATCAACATACACTTATACGTACGGTAGGACGTCAAAACATATTCAACTGCACGAAAGTGGAAGAGAGAATCGCTTATCTCCATAGCACTATAGCTTCTCTCACAGTACTGGATACTCTTTCCAAAGTTAAGATAACCAGCAGAGATACCGGATCCGAATGGACTCGATGAGCGTGTTACCGACGACCGGCATTCACCAATTTATATCAGACCAGATGGAGACCATTACAATACAGACATGTATAGCATCTTTAATACCAGTTGTGTACCAAAATTTTTTATCGCATCTTCAAGGTGATCAATGCCAGTGATTTTCTAGACCTCTCAGAAATGCGTAAGAGAGAAAACGAAAACGACAGATGAATCAAGCAGAAATCAGCTTGTTGGATGTGTCTGTAACAAACAACGGTCCACAGATTGAGAAACTACTCCACTTTGGTTGGCTGTTACCATCACTGGTTCAGCTTACTCAAATGACGTCCCGGATCGCTGTTTTCCACTTTTGCCGAACCTGCGCAGTATCCGCCATCAAATTCAGCCACTCTTCTACTGTTTGTGCCTATATACTTTGCTCAGGGAGAACCTCAACGTCAGCTCTGACAGGTTCCGTTAGGCCTAAATTTGTACGCCCTTTTTACGGTGCCATACAGGGATCAAGACAGTGTAACGTGCAATGGCGATAATTTAGTCTGGTAGATGTCTCCGCACTAGGCAAAAGCATTCGCCGTTTTTTAAGACAGTAGAAAGCTAAATGATGTTGCAACAAGCACGGGTGGCAGCGTTGGGTATATGATCAATAAATCACGTTCAGGATATGATTCGTAAAAATCGGTCGTCAAAAGATTTTAGAATTTTAGTTTCTTCATGTCCTCAACTCTTATGGTCCAGTTCTCACGTCCATAAAGAAAGCTTTAGCGAAAGACGGCCTGCAGAACCCGGCAGTTCATCTTCAGACTGAACGTCATTCTTGGTGTTGCTATCCGAGCCGCAATTTTATCTCTACACTGTTCACGGGGACGGAAGGAGAGCCCAAAGTATTTGAAGGCTGTGACTTCTTCAATTAAAGTAGCGCACAGGAAGATGGATTTTTACCTTGTTCCGGGATTCCATTGGAAAATATCTTCGTTGTTACTGCGTTGATGACTAGTTTCACTGTTGCAATCACATCGCCGATGCACTTAAGGATATAATTATTTGACTGTGGTATTTCCAAAATTCTATGTCATACAGATATCTAAGCCTCCTTTCTTGTAATCAAATTTCCATACATATTAACACAGGAAACAACATGAGACTCAGCACTTATACACTGCATGAGAGTTTGATTCGGTGTAAAGAAAGGGAAAAGAATGTCTACGAAGTATCTTTAGAGACTGATAGCGACTCAGTGCCAATGACGAAGTTTTTTGTTTCAATAATCATAGAAGCGCAGATTCGAAGTCAGTCCTTCAGAGGCAGATGTTTGCGGCAACAGTCAGAGTGAATTAAAATGCTCCTAAATGCCAACGTAGTGCCTAAAAAGAGCACCGGTTATTACCGTTGTTAATCAAATCTTAATTCAAATCATGTTACAACCGTCTCTTTCACTTCTGAACTCTCCAAAAAATTTGAATATATCTGGATAAAGAGGGTTTCGAATATCTTTGGAAATTCATTACCAATACGCGCTAGCGAAATGCAATTTTCTCATCTATTCAACAAAGCAATGGCTTTTGAGTCTAGCGATAGCTTCAAAGTCTGAAGTCGAAATGTCGGAGGAAAGCGAAAGCTTATCTCGCACAAAGGCAATAG